AGTAAGAACCGTGACAGGGCGCACCAAGTCCGCAGGTAACCAGCCATCCCGGGAGCTGACCCGCTTTAGGGGATCCCCAATCGGTCCATTACTTGGGGCGTTCTCCCAGACCTCCACCCCGAGCCATGAGTTGTTGAGTAAGCCGCGGATCTGGAAGACCAGGCGGATTGGCTCTTTATCGTTCTTGACCACCCACTCGCGGAAGTGCTTAGTATCGGTTCTGACGGCGAGGATCTAGTCTTATGGAATGGCCTGCCGGATGGCGTGAAGGCGCTCCCGTTTCGCAGTTTGGCTGTCCAATTGCCTAAGGATATGCGTGTCTTCCTTCCAGTCCTTGGCCGTCTGATCCCAAAGATCTGCAACTCTGACGACTCTCGCACGAAGCCAAGCTTTGCCAAAAGCGCCTTTGGTGCTCGCCCAGGGGAAAGGGTTCCCATCGCAATCACGAATGAGGGGATTGCCAAACAAAGGCTGCTGCAGGATCTGATCCGTCGACGCAGGTGGCTGGAGCTGTAGCGGAGCCAATGTTCACCATTGCGCAAGGACCCGGGTCCAAAGAGCTCCACGCTTGAGGCTTATGAGCAGCACAGGGTGGAGCAGGGCAGTCTCGATGTCCACTGGGCGAAGCCTGAGGGCCTCAGCCATCGTTTGAAGAGTCAAGACCTTCCAGGGGGCCTTGTCGTCCTCAAGAAGCAGCCACATGATTGTGCGTAAGTTTAGTGCCTGGATTTGTGTGGCGGGGTCTATTAGTCCCAGACCCCCGTCAGCCCGTGGTTTGACGAGCTTGCGCCAGGAGACCCTGTGAATAGTGTGAGCGGCAACCGGGTCGTTCTTCCAGATGAACTTACATATAGTCATAGTATAGTCCCGGCGAGGGACGGGGTCAGGAGTGGACACAGCTCCAGCATACCATAGCATCGATGAAGCAACAGTGTTGGCAAGGAGAGCTCGCCCGAAAAGGCCCGTACTCAGGGTTTTCCCACAGAGGGTCATCCGTCTAATTGCCTTTGTCGTCAGACCTTCCATTTGGATGCCTTCCGTGAGAGCGTCTGGCATAGTAATGCCGAGGTACGTAGAAGGTTTTGTCATAGGCTGTACCCGCGTACCCTCAAAGAGGGGGCCCGCACTCATGTCCGGAAGTAGTGCCACAAATTTGTGCCAGTTCATCCTTGCTCCTGCATATCGTTCGAAGGCGGCAATCCGTGTTCGGAGGGCTTGGACACTCTGGCGCTCAAGGGCAGTAATGGCACCAGTATCATCGGCGAACGCAAAGCTTTTGAGTTGGTGGCCTTGCGGGAGCCGCAGTCTGATCATTGAGTCATCTGCTATGAACATATCGTGAAGATGTTCAATGTATAGTGTGTACAGAGCAGGGGACATGGGGCATCCTTGGCGCACCGACCGTGTGACCTTGATTGGATTAGTCTAAGAGAGGAAGTCGTTGATAAGGAGCTGAGACTGCACACTTGCTAGCAGCGTACGGACTGTAGTCAAAAATCTCGGCAATACCTCGCTGTCGCATGCCTTCCAACAGAAAGGGTTATGCGACCCTGTCGTATGCTTTCTCAAAATCGAGAAGGACAAAGGCGACAAACAGGTCTTGTCGGGGAGCATGCCATAGGACTTGTCGTGCAAGCAGGACACTTGTGTGTATATGCCTACCAAGGATAAAGCCTGTCTGGGTGTTGTCGATCAACACAGGGAGCTGGGTCGTGAGGCGATTTGCAAGGACCTTAGCGAGGAGCTTATACGGGGCGGAGAGCAGGGATATAAGCCGCCAGTTCCGAATGTCCTTGGGAGATCCCTTCTTGTAAACTAGGATGATAGTGGCAAGGCCGAAGTCTTTAGGTAGCTCCTGGGCATTTTCCCATACCGAGTTGAAGCCCTCTAGCAGATGCGGCATGAGAATGTGCGCACATGTTTTAAGGTGTTCCACAGGCATCCCACCAGGGCCAAGGGCTTTGCCTGAAGGCATGTCGGCCAACGCGTGCAGAATTTCCTCTTGGGTGATTGGCCTTTCGAGGTCTTGTTTGTCCGTCGCCTCCAGCTTGATAGCTATCTTTGTCCAGACATCGTTCTCGAGGTAATGTGTAATGTCCTCTTGTGGCCCACTTTGCTCCTCCGAAAAAAGGTAAGAGTAGTAGTCTTGGGCATAGTCCAAGATTGCATGGGTAGATTCCGCAACAGGCCGCTGATGATCGAATGGCGGGTCCAGGGCAAGCATAATAGAGGCAGGGTGCTTCAGGCACAACCGTCTGAAGAAGGACTTGGATATACGCTCTGCCGCTATGATCCACTGAGACTTATTGCGGAGTCCCCAGAGTTCCGCATCGTTGATGTGCCAATCATCCCACTCAGCTTTCAAAGCGGCCCATTCCATCCACCATTCCTCTTCCTCTTCTTTCGTGGCAAGGTCGTCGCCAAGATCCATGACCCGCTTGA